AAGAAACCTTCTAAGACTGTTTATTTAGCATCTTTAAACAGACAGCTACAAAGTTATCCTGAAACTGGTTTATTTTTTAGCACCTGCAGATATGGTTTATTGTCTTTTCTACCACGCTTTCTCTATTACCAGTTCAAAAAGTACAGCAACATATATTTTCTCATGGTTTCTTTACTGCAAGTGAGAATCATTTTGTCATTCATTTGTCTCCCAACCTGCTCAACTACGAAAGAAAAGAAGGCCTGCCAACCGTTATTTCTTTAAAACACTTTTTACATTGGCCAAATACCTCATCTCTTGAGACTCAAAATTATTGCTATTTTATATTTGTTTCAAAAGATGTCTCACTTTTTCTTCACCTTTAAGCAAATTCCTGGCATCAGCCCCACTGGCCGTTACCCTACAGCTGTTCCGTTCTTATTTACTCTTCTTCTCTCTGCCATGAAGGAACTTTATGAAGATTACGTAAGTTTGCCTTTTACAAAACATTTCAACTTTATTGCCTTTCAGTCACCCGATACTGTCTTTTAGAAATAATGCAAGACTGTTTTTACAACATCTCTGCAGTAAGTTACATGAAGCAAATTTATGTTTCCCTCTTTCTTTTTAAAAAGTGAGAAGTGGTAACAAACGCAAAAAGCTCTATACCAAAGTGTGATTGGCTTATAGATATATTTTCTAGTAGCAGATACTTATTATTCCAGAACTTTTTATTGTACTCATGTAGCCTGTTAAGCTACCTTATTAATTTACAGCACTGAATAAAAAACGAAGTTTTGTAAAGTATAGACAACCTTATGGTTTTAGGTGAGAAGGAAGTTTGATGAAAAAGTGAATTGTAGAAAAACGACTGTTTTAAGAGATGGAAAATGGATTAGCAAAATGTGGAAAGAGGTTGCTTTATGCTCAGTTTTAATAAGAACGTTTTGTGGACCAGTACGGTATGAGATTTAAACATTTTTTTGCGCCGTGAGCAAAATTTTTAATTTTTTAGATTATCAGCGCGAAATATTTTCCATTACTGTTTCTAAGAAAAGTTAGTGCAAGAATAAGGAAGGGTTTAAAGCAAACTGAACCTAAGAGTGCTCTCATTTCAGGTAGTCGTTGGCGATATCTTAAAAGTGCGTAATGGTGAACTTTTTCCTGCAGATCTATTATTGCTGACGTCAAGTGAAGGGAACGGAGCGTGTTATGTAGAGACGTCAAAAATAGATGGCGAAACTAATTTAAAAGTTCGCAGTGCTTTGCAATGTACATCTCATTTGAAGAATGTGAAGGATATCGGCTCGTTTTTTCGTGAAATTGAGTGTGAAGAGCCAAACGAAAGTATAAACGACTTTAATGGTACACTTATTACGGAGGATGGTCAGAAGTGGTCTTTAGGTTTCTTTTCATGATTGCATTAATTGCATTATTTTATTCCTTGTTTAAAAACACTTAACGTTTTAATCAAAACATTTCAGAATAGCTACGGCTTTAAAATTAGACAGACAAAATTGTATAATAAACAGTTCCGGATAAAAAATTGAATTTAAAACAGTGCATAGTGTTGAAACAAACCAAAACATTTAATCCAATTCAGATAACACCTCAGAGTTCATTGCATTACATTTAAAAAAGACTGAGAAAACCGTAATTTCTATGAAAATTTAATAGCAATAACCTCTAAACTTTTTTAAACATTAACTTAATTTCTTTTTTCTTTTCATTTTCAGACTTTAAGTAAGATGTTTTTGTTATAAGGTGAGATTTATGTTGTCACAACGTTCAAAGGCAGTTATAAATAAGACTCATTTTTAAAGAAGTGGAACAATTACTGCTTCGTGGTGCTATTTTAAAGATGACAGAGTGGGTTTGTGCCGTAGTGATCTACACTGGTAAAGAGACAAAACTGTTAACAAAGTCTAAGGCGATTCCAGTGAAGCTGTATGATTTATGTTCCAGATAATCTTATTACTCTTTCATGTTGTTTCATCCGTTCACTTGTGCTAGAGCATATTTTTAGGTCAAAAATGGAAATGATGACAAACTATAAAACCAAAATTCTCTTCATGGTTTTGATAATAGTGTCTTTGCTAAGTGCAACTGCTGCCTGCATTTTTGATTCTCGGTTTTTGACAAATGCGTATTACCTCCCTTCGTCAGGTTTGTCGACTTCATCTATATATTTTACTGTTGATAGGTGAGCAAGTTAAAGATAAGCTTTTTTAAGCAGAAAGGCTTTCTTTGCCTGTTGCGCTTTCATAAATCGCACTTTGTTAGGAATGGTGTTGAGAGTGAATAACTAATTTTAAAATCTTTCTAGCAAAGTACAGTTATGTCTAGAAAATTGTTTAACCACTATTTTTTCATCCTGAGTCGTAAACAGTGACAGTTTACCTCATCAGTGAAAAATTAGTAACTACGCTTATACTATAAATGCTTTCAATAATTCAGAGGTTTCTT